CACACACTCTCTGGAAGTTGGATTGCCTGAGAATATTACCTGACTACTCCCAATGTATAGATGAATTTCCAATGCTGAGAGTTTTATTGTTTCATCAGTAAAATGATTATAGAAGAAGAAGAGTAAACTACCAGGACGATACAAATAAACATTCTCTTCTAGTTTGGATATAAGAATCCAACCATATTTTGAATCATGAAAATTTGATCCAAATGGTAACTTCTTTTTAATCTCATACTTTGTTTTGTTAGAAGGGTTGTAGAGATAACAAAAGCTACTAACCTTATCATATCGATTGTACTCGTAAGCAAACATCCAAGGCAATTGATCTGCAGATTTGATAGCATAAGTATTCTATCGCCAACTTTTGTAGACGGCCCAAAAATGGATTTGATCGTTGAAATATAGATGTCTCATTATCTCGCTTTGTATATCAATTGGAAGATAAGACCATGACTTGATGCCACTGTCATGGTTCATGTTGGATGTAATTATGTGAAGAACTTTGTTAAAGACAAGTGGCAATGGGAGTATATTGAAAGAAAAACAATTCAATCTAATAATATTCAACTATATATATATATATATATATATAAGGATTAATTATTAAGGAGAGTTGTTATTGAATTGGAAAACTGAAATAAAAAGAATGATGTAAGTAATACAAAATTAGGGTTTGCAATTCATCACCTTATTTTCCTAGTATTCTAATGATGTATATACAGCTAAGAGTTAGAGTTAGAGTTAAAATATGTTAACTAATGTGACTTGTTGATAATTGAAAATTGTATTGTAATTTGATGTAAAAACTAAAAACTAATAAATGAGTATTAGGAAAATAAACTGAAATACGATTCAAAATTTTGAATTGTATCATATAATATTTAAAATTGTTTTCAGATTAAAATCTATAGAAAACAGTTTTTACCCATTACACAAGTTTTTGTGATTGCATTCCAAAACCGTTTTTGAAAACAATTCAACTCATTCCTTGTATCTTTTTTTTTTTTTTTTTGAAAACAAAATCTAATTGTAAATTCTATATCAAACATGTGTTTTCTTTTTTAAAGAAAAAGAATAAGAGTTTACAGTTATAGAGTTGTTTTTAAATTAGAAAAATAAATAGAAAGAATGTTGTGAAAAAAAATTAGGATTTTTTATAAAAAAAGTATGAGTTATTTTCTTAATATTATTACTAAATCTTACAACCTCGACATGACAGCTTGTAATTGGTTAGCTGCAATTTATCAGGTAGGACCTATTACGAGTTGACCAATTGCGAGCTATCACGTCGAGATTTTGAGAGGAAATTTGTGAGAAGAGGTTGTGGGTATAACATTTTCCTTCCCGAATATAGAAAACTTAGAATGTAAAACAGTCAACAGTTTGTTAACTAACCTCCTGACTATAGAGTTTGTCGGGTTTGGGCTTTTTATTTTGGACTCCTTTGTCTGAGTCTTGAAGCTCTCTTTATTGGGCTTTTATCGGTATCCAACAACAAGTATTTGAGGTATTTTATAGTTATTTGCTGATTAAAAGGGCTTTTCCAATGCGTTTTTAGTTGTAGGTACTAGGTTGATTAGGGAGGGGCACAAAACCTGGTCCTGCAGGGACCTGTCCTGAACGGGTCAGATTTTCCCTGAATCATTCGGGCTTTGGGCCAGATCGGGCCCAAAAGTAGTCCCGAAATTCGGGGATGGGCTAGGGCCAAGATAGGTCTTGCCTTGGCCCACCCCAACCTCGTTTTGTTCCCGCCCCAAAATCCCGGGCCCAGCCCATATATTTTATATATTAAAAAGTCAATCATATATATCAATATATCATATATACCTATGTTAATTTTAATAATTAAAAATCAATCATATATACCTATATTAATTTTAATATTTGAAAATCAATCATATATTATACAATGACAAATTATAATTGTGTAAGTATTTTAGGAAACCATATACAAATAGGTAGTAAATAAAACTAAATTAAATATAATAAATCATTATAAATATTTGTAGTATATCATTTGGTGTTTTGATTGATTATAATAAATCAATAAATCATTATAATTTTTTTTTGTCTCTCATTGAATCATTATTTCAATTCTATTACCTAATTGCCCTTGTTATATTACGATAGCTATTTATTTAGAATTTATTATAATATATATGTATAATGTACCATATGTAATACATTATATATTAAAGAGACATTAAAATATATATGGTAATCTCTATATAGAATTTATTATAATACATTATACAAAATGTGTTATAAAACAAAAATTATACATTATATATAATATGCTATTATCCGTAATCATAATATCATATGTTAATACTTATTACTTAATACAATAATACATAATATTCCCCGAACAGGCTTCGGGCCGGGATCGGGGAATCCCCGAATGGGTTTTGGGTTGGGATCGGGGAATCCCCTTAGGCTTCCTGCTCTGGCCCCCGCCCCCGCCCGTGCCCATCCCTAAGGTTGATACATAAGAGGTGCATTTATTTTCTGAAGTACAATTGTTTTCTATTTTTGTGATCATTTTAATATTGTGTTATCTGTTCTAGATTAGTAGATTATGAACTTATGAGGTAATTTCAGGTTTATCTGCTTGAAACCATGCTCTTTAATTGATTAACTTTGAATGTTTTTTTTTTTTGTTACCGAAGGTGTCCAAGCCAGTTTACGTGCACCTTGACTAGTCCTCAGACCCATAACAAGGCTTCCAAAACAAGGTAAGCTCTGCGGTCTGTGGCCAACAATATTAACAACCGTTCTTGTGATTTGAACCTAAGACCATAGGGAGAGCAAATCCCTTGGCCCCAAGCCTTTACCACTCGGCTAACCCATTGTTGGTTATTGACTTTGAATGTTGTCGTAGCTGTGTCACTTTGGGATGCTATAGTACGCTATAGTACCTACCAAAGAATCTGCCAAGTTTTCCATTCACACCTCTAACAAGTACCGTTTCATTGATCAGGTATGCCATCCTAATGAATTGTGTTTACCATTCTGTCTAACCAATATTCATAAGTGAATTTGATTCTCATATTTCCCGTTTCCTTTTCCAATGCAGGGACACAATCTCTGGGGTAAAGAATTCAACTTGACATTGCACTGGCATGTCATGTCGAAGACAAACAAGATGTTTGCCGATAAAATAGTCATGTCTGGATACCGCTTGCCAAATGAGAAATATCTTGAGTGTATGATCTTGCTATAACTTAGTCTTTCTGTAAGGGGATATTGAGGATCAGCTTAACTAGAAAACTAGAAACAGGAAACATTTCTTGTCATTGTTTTGCTCTCAATAACTTTAAATCTCTGTTGCAAAATCATGGATTATGATTCTTTACTTGGAAGAAATTTTTGGCCCTTCTTTTTTCACCAGATTTGCCTGAAACCATGACCATGATCTTTATAAATGTTGTTTACGCTTAAGATTTATGGCCAAACTAGTTGAGAAAACGTTGCAACCAAGAAACAGATGTATGGCTATTCTCTACTTGAGTAGAAGAACCTTAATGCCTTATCGAGTGTTTGTTATTCAATAAGAGGTGTTGATTTTCTTCTTATTTTATCAATTTGAGACCGAGTTGGAAGAGAGATTCGTGAAACTCTGAACCCAAAGTACTGTAACTAGCAGAACCTACACGGTGGCCTTGGGTTCAGCAGTAGAGGAAGCACAACTGAAGGTTTCAAAATTTACTAAGACTTCCTTCAACAACTGTCCTTAATTGTTGATCTGCATTGCTTAGTTACTTACGTCTATATTCATTTCAACATGCATTCAACTTCGTATATAAACCTAAATATTTTTATATCTATATTTTAAAAAATTAAATTCAACAACTGAAGGTTGTTTTTTTTTTTTTTTNAACGGTAACTTCTTTTTAATCTCATACTTTGTTTTGTTAGAAGGGTTGTAGAGATAACAAAAGCTACTAATCTTATCATATCGATTGTACTCGTAAGCAAACATCCAAGGCAATTGATCTACAGATTTGATAGCATAAGTATTATATCGCCAACTTTTGTAGACGGCCTGAAAACAAATTTGATCATTGAAATATAAATGTTCCATTATCACGCGTAGTATATCAACTGGAAGATCGGACTATGACTTGATGGCACTGTCATGGCTCATGGATGTGATTATGTGAAGAACTTTGTTAAAGACAAGTGGGAATTGGAGTATTTTATTTATTTATTTTCAAAGAATAAGAGTTTACAGCTATAGAGTTGTTTTTAAATTAGAAAAATAAATAGAAAGAATGTTATAAAAAAAATTAGGATTTTTTATAAAAAAAGTATGAGTTATTTTCGTAATATTATTAATAAATTTTATTTATTTTAAAAATATTAGTATTTGTGTTTATAATGACACTTGTTTATAGTTCATACTAATTAATAAATATGGTTCCGACCTAGTAATGTTACACCCATATCATTTTCTTACAACCTCGACATGGCAGTTCGTAATTGATGAATCGCAATTTATCAGCTAGGACCCAAGTAAGATCCATTATGAGTTGACCAATTACAAGCTATCACGTCGAGATTGTGAGAAGAAGTTGTGGGTATAACATTTTCCTTCCCGAATATAGAAAAAAATATAAAATCTTTATGTAATGGTAATGTAAAATAATGATTATAAAAATATCAATTATAATATTTAATTCATTAACTAACGACTTCTTGTAATATAGGGTTGCCTAAATTATGGAAAATTCATCAATTTTCCTAGTTTTAATTAAATAGGGCAATAGCGTACGGGTCAAAATCAACCATAGAAATAAAATCCCACAAATATTATTAAAGTTTCAATGAATATTGAAAAAAAAAAAAAACAATTAACATATAATCCCTTTTTTTAAAATAACAACCTTCTCAATATAATGATAATAAAATAAAATAAAATAAAAACTGAAATAACCAAACTTGGTGAAGGAGGTTGAATCCTTATTGAAACTCTGATAGATCCGATCATAACGCTGTTAACAGGAGTAGTGATTTTTCTGAAACCTTGTAACATGTAATGGAGGTTGAATCCAATTACTCTCATACTCTGATTTCTCTGGTTTCTTAATCCAGTCATAAGGTTGTGGAGTACAAAAGTGAGTTTTTGGTGCCTTATAAAAATGAGAGTCAAACTTGATGAAGCAATTATGATGTACAGTATTGGCTAATTCAATTGCAGCCTCCATTAACGGAACTAATGTATATTTTCCCGAACCTTTACACAACATTTTCTTCTCCAAATTTCCGAATTCAACCAACTTCTTCTCTGAAAAATCAACCCTAAAAACAACACAAGAATCATCATCATCTTCAGGATATGTTAATAAAAGATTCCCATCTGACTCTATTAGTTTACAACGGTAGATTGCCCTTGAGGGAATTGCAAAAGAGAGAACGTCAATTGGATCAAAAACGATTTTCTGCTGTTTTGCTATAATCTTAAAGGAACTCAACCAAATTTTTTCACCTCCAAATCTACTAGCACTATAAGCACAATATAAGACTCCATCAACACAAGCCAAACTAAGAATATCTCGTCCAAAATATTCTAAACAATAATGGCGAGTCCATCTTGTATCTCCAGGCCTACATGTGTAGAGTTCCATCGATATCCCATGACCAAATATCACACACTCTTTGGAAGTTGGATTGCCTGAGAATATTAACCAAGAATCATGAATGTCAAGAGGACGTTCCGGTACCGGGAGTTTTATTGTTTCATCAGTAAAAGGATTATAGAAGACGAAGAGTAATCTATGAGCAGAGTAACAATGAACATTCTTGTTTACTTTGGATATAAGAATCCAACCATATTTTGAATCATGAAACCTTGATCCAAACGGTAACTTCTTTTTAATCTCATACTTTGTTTTCTTAGAAGGATTGTAGAGATAACAAAAGCCACTAACCTTATCATCTTGGTTGTAATCGTAAGTAAATAACCAAGGCAATTGATCTGCAGATTTGATAGCATAAGTATTACATTGCCAACTTTTGCAGACGGCCCGAAAACGGATTTGATCATCGAAATATAGATGTTCCATTATCACGCTTTGTATATCAACTGGAAAATCGGACCATGACTTGATGGCACTTTCATGGTTCATGTTGGATGTGATTATGTGAAGGGCTTTGTTATAGACAAGTGACAATAGTAGTATATTGAAAGAATAACAATTCAATGTAATAATATTTGACTATATATATATTACGTTTATGATGAATCCTATTTGTAAAAGGATTAATTAATAAGGAAAGTTGTTATTGAATTAGAAAACTGAAAAAAGAAAAAGATCTAAGTAATACAAAATTAGGGTTTCTAATCCATCACCTTATTTTCCTATTACAAAAAAAAAAAAATAAAATAAAATAAAATAAAATAAAATATTCCTAATTTCGGAAATGTTCCTGCATTATTGCTTTTCATCACAATTTTACAATTTTAGAATATAATTTCTAAATTATAAACAAAAATACTAATGTTCGTATTTNTTCTCAATATATGATAATAAAATAAAATAAAAACTGAAATAACCAAACTTAGTGAAGGAGGTTGAATCCTTATTGGAGCTTTGATAGATCCGATCATAATGCTGTTAACAGGAGTAGTGATTTTTCTGAAACCTTGTAAAATGTAGTGGAGGTTGAATCCAATACTCTCGTAATCTGATTTCTCTGGTTTCTTGATCCAGTCATAAGTTTGTGGAGTACAAAAGTGAATTTTTGGTGCCTTATAAAAATAAGAGTCAAACTTAATGAAGCAATTATGATGCACAGTATTGGCTAATTCAATTGCAGCCTCCACTAACGGAACTATTGTACATTTTCCCGAACCTTTACACAACATTTTCTTCTCCAAATTTTCAAATTCAACCAACTTCTTCTCTGAAAAATCAACCCTAAAAACAACACAAGAATCATCATCATCATCTTCAGGATATGTTAATAAAAGATTCCCATCTGACTCTATTAGTTTACAACGGTAGATTGCCCTTGAGGGAATTGCAAATGAGAGAACGTCAATTGGATCAAAAACGATTTTCTGCTGTTTTGCTATAATCTTAAAGGAACTTAACCAAATTTTTTCACCTCCAAATCTACTAGCACTATAAGCACAATATAAGACTCCATCAACACAAGCCAAACTAAGAATATCTCGTCCAAAATATTCTAAACAATAATGGCAAGTCCATCTTGTATCTCCAGGCCTACATGTGTAGAGTTCCATCGATATCCCATGACCAAATATCACACACTCTTTTGAAGTTGGATTGCCTGAGAATATTAACCGAGAGTCATGAATGTCAAGAGGACGTTCCGGTACCGGGAGTTTTATTGTTTCATCAGTAAAAGGATTATAGAAGACGAAGAGTAATCTATGAGCAGGGTAACAATGAACATTCTTGTCTACTTTGGATATAAGAATCCAACCATATTTTGAATCATGAAACCTTGATCCAAATGGTAACTTCTTTTTAATCTCATACTTTGTTTTGTTAGAAGGATTGTAGAGATAACAAAAGCCACTGACCTTATCATCTTGGTTGTACTTGTAAGCAAATAACCAAGGCAATTGATATGCAAATTTGATAGCATAAGTATTCCATCGCCAACTTTTGCAGACGGCCCGAAAACGGATTTGATCGTCGAAATATAGATGTTCCATTATCACGCTTTGTATATCAATTGAAAGATCGGACCATGACTTGATGGCACTGTCATGGTTCATGTTGGATGTGTTTATGTGAAGGGCTTTGTTATAGACAAGTGATAATAGTAGCATATTGAAAGAATAACAATTCAATGTAATAATATTCGACTATATATATATATATTAGGTTTATGATGAATCCTATTTGTAAAAGGATAAATTAATAAGGAAAGTTGTTATTGAATTAGAAAACTGAAAAAAGAAAAAGACGTAAGTAATACAAAATTAGGGTTTCTAATCCATCACCTTATTTTCCTATTACAAAAAAAAAAAAATAAAATAAAATAAAATAAAATAAAATATTCCTAATTTCGGAAATGTTCCTGCATTATTGCTTTTCATCACAATTTTACAATTTTAGAATATAATTTCTAAATTATAAACAAAAATACTAATGTTCGTATTTTCTTAATAAATTAAAATTTCTTAATATTATTACTAAATTTTGTTTAGTTTAAGAATATTAGAAAACTTACCATGCAAAATATAGTTTGTTGACAAACCTCCAGGCTATAGAGTTTACCGGGTTTGGGCTTTTTATTTTGGACTCCTTGTCTGACTCTTTGGGCTTTTATGGTTTTGTCCATATCCAACAACAAGTATTTGAGGTATTTTACAGGTAGGGTTACTTATGTAAACCTAGTGTGTTTGACATTTTTCTGTGAGCACCTGATGGATACATAAATATGACATTAATCCTGAGTGTTTGGTCTTTTTTTGTATTGAGAACCTGTTCGTTACATAAATGCGACTTTAATCCTGTGTTTTTCACATTTTTTGTGGTGAACGTGTGCCGGTTTTGGTTTTGGAAATACGACCTTAACCTTTATTATTGACGGATCGTTAGGTTATTCTTTTTAAATTTGAAGGAAATTATGTTTTACTATTCACCCAAATTCAATTATTCTAAAATGCTTTATATGTCAATAATATTGAGAGGTTTGTATACGTTATGGAGGTTAAATTAATAAAATTGTTGATAAATTTAAAAAATGTATTAATGACATTTTTGAAACTAGCCGAGCACTAATTAAAAAAGGCTAACACTTAGGAGTAGGTTGTATTTTTTAAATAGTCTCTCCTTAATGTGCACCATCGCTTCTCTTTCTAACAACCTTGACATTCCTTTTCCGACTACTAAAATCTAGGTCAACTTATGACATTTTTTTAAGATCCGTCTTTGATTCGTGTTAGAATTAAGAGAACCCAATTATTATTATTTTTTTATTTTTTTTGTGATTTTGACTGGTTTTTGTTTCTGGGTTTGTGTTTTTTGTGAGTGTAGGTATTGAATATTTTGGCTTTAGAAGCGGACGCATGGAAACGATGAGGTAATTCTTCAATATTTGTGATTTTTAGTATTGATTGTTTTTGTAGTTTGTAGAAGCTTTGTTAGATTTATGGGGTTTTGATTATAAAATTATGTGTATGATTAATTTATTAGTTTGATAAGTAGAAGCTTTAATTGATGATTGTATTGTTTTGTTTATGCTAGTTTAATTGTTTGAGAGTTATAGTTTAATACATGATAAGGTTTTTGCTTTGGTATATACATGATAAGGTTTATCTATTTGAAAGAGATTTTTAGCCATTTTTTCTTAAATTAAAAATAAAAGCTTTCGGCAATGGTAATATAAAACAATGATTATAAAAATATCAATTATATAATTAAATTCATTAACGAAGCCCATATAGGGTTGCCAAATTTATGGAAAATTCATCAATTTCCAAGTTTTAAATAGGGCAATAACCTAAGGATCAGAATCAACCACAGAAATAAAATCCTTACAGAAAACATATATGAAGAATATTATTAAAGTTTTAATGAATATTATTGGGTTAAAAAAAAAACAATTAACATATAATCCCTTTTTTAAAATAACAACCTTCTCAAAGTATAAAAATAATTAAAAATAAAAAACAAAAAAAATGAAGTAAAATTACCAACTTGGTTGAGGAGGTTGAATCCTTATTGGAACTCTGATAGATCCGATCATAATGCTGTGGACAGGAGTAGTGATTTTCTGATACCTTGTAAAATGTAGTGGAGGTTGAATCCAAATACTCTCATAATTTGGTATCTCTGATTTATTGATCCAGCCACAAGGTCGTAGACACAACCAAAAATGAGTTTCTGGTGGCTTATAAAAATAAGGGTTAAACTTCATGAGACGATTCTGACGTACAATATTGGCTACTTCACTTGCTGCAACCTTCTCTGGCGGAACTAATATACATTTTCCCCCAGGCATACACAATATTTTCTTCTCCGAATTTTCAAATGCAACCAACTTCTTCTCTGAAAAATTAACCTTAAAAGCAACATAACAATGATCATATTCAGGATATGTTAATAAAACATTCCCATCTGACTCAATTAGTCTACAAGCGTAGATTGCCCTTGAGGGAATTGTAAACGAGAGAACGTCAGTTGGGTCGAGAACGATTTTCTTTTCTTTTGCTATAATCTGAAAGGAACTTAACAAAATTTTTCCACCTTCTAATCTACTAGCACAATATAAGACTCCATCCATACAAGCCAAACTAAAAATATCTCGTCCAAAATCTTCTAAACAGCAATGAAGAGACCATTTTGTATCTCCAGGCCTACATGTGTAAATCCTCATCGATTCCCATTCATTCCAACCATGATCTATCAATACTACAAATATCACACACTCTTTAGAAGTTGGATCGCCTGAGAATATTACCTGACTCCTAACAAAGTATAGAGGAATTTCCAATACCGAGAGTTTTATTGTTTCATCAGTAAAAGGATTATAGAAGAAGAGTAAACTACGAGCATAATCATTCTCTTCTACTTTGGATATAAGAATCCAACCATATCTTGAATCATGAAACCTTGATTCAAATGGTAACTTCTGTTTAATCTTATACTTTGTTTTGTTAGAAGGGTTGTAGAGATAACAAAAGCCACTTACCCAATCATATCGGTTGTACTCATAAGCAAATAACCAAGGCAATTGATCTGCAGATTTGAAAGCATAAGTATTCTGTCGCCAACCTTTACAGACAGCCCGAAAACGGATTTGATCGTTGAAATATAGATGTCTCGTTATCTCGCTTTGTATATCAATTGGAAGATCAGACCATGACTTGATGTCACTGTCATGGTTCATGTTGGATGTAATTATGTGAAGAACTTTGTTAAAGACAAGTGGCAATGGGAGTATATTGAAAGAAAAACAATTTTAAATCTAATAATATTCAAGTATATATATGATGAATCCTGTTTGTAAAAGGATTGATTATTAAGGAGAGTTGTTATTGAATTGGAAAACTGAAATAAAAAGAATGATGTAAATAATACAAAATTAGCCAAGAGTTAGAGTTAGAGTTAAAATATATTAATTAATGTGACTTGAAGATAATTGAAAATTGTATGGTAATTTGACGTAAAAACTAAAAACAGTAAATGAGCATTACGAAAATAAAAAAATCTGAATAATAATATTAATCCCTTTCTAAAGTAATAATCTTCTTAATTATTATAGTAATTTAAAAAAAAAAAAAAAAGAGTAGGAGCAAACAAAATCAATGAAGGGAACTTTTAGGTTATTTGTGGTGTGTTCTATTATTTCGTTCGTAGTAGTTTGAAGTATGAAACCTTGATCCAAGTAGAAACTCATTTTTTATTTGTGATTCAAAAATATCTTTCAAGAACTAAAATAGGATTCAAAATTTTGAATTGTATAACGTAGTATTTTAAATTGTTTTCAAATTAAAATCTATAGAAAAAACAAATTTTACCTGTTTTCTATTTTTACACAAGTTTTTACGGTTTGTATTCAAAAACCGTTTTTGAAAACAATTCAACTCATTCGTTGTATCTTTTGTTTAAAAAAAAAAAAAAAACCAATTTTAAATTTTATATAAAACATGCATTTAAGAAAAGAAAAAGAATAAGAGTTTGCAGCTATAGAGTCCTTATTTAAATTAGAAAACTAAATAGAAAGAATAATGTCCTACAAAATTAGGATTATTTTCTTAATATTATTACTAAATTTTGTTTAGTTTAAGAAGTATTTGATAAATGGTCCGAAAATAGAAAACTTACCTACAGGGTATAGAGTTTACCGGGTTTGGGCTTTTTATTTTGGAGTCCTTTTTCTGAGTCTTTGGGCTCTCTTTATTGGGCTTTTCCTCCATGTCCAGCAACAAGAATTTGAGGTATTTTACAAGTAGGGTTATTTATGTAAATCCAATGTGTTTGACATTTTTCTGTGAGCACTGTTGGTTACACAATTATGCCCCTGATCCTGGGTGTTTGGTCTTTTCCGTAGTAAGCACTTATTGGCTACCTTGTGTGTTTGATATTTTCCAACTCGTTAGATTATTCAATTAATCCAATATCCAAAATATATGAACAATGTTGAGAGGTTAGTATACCTTTTGGAGGTCACATTAATGAAGTTGTTAATAAACTTAAAAGGATGAATTAATGACATTTTCGAAACTAGCGAATGTCAATTACAAAAAAGAAACGAGGAAGAAGTAAACGCATGCCGCGATACAAACGTGTCTTAATGAAAAAAAGAAAGAAAGAAAACTGCAGCAAAATGATGAAGAAGGCAAGACGACCGATCGTTGCAGCGAGCGCTGAGAAGCAGCACTGAACGTGAAGAAGAATGACAGCTGCGGCGATGGAGATGGTGGCCGCGGCGAGCGTCCTGGACCGCAAAGTTTCAGCTTTATTCTTTTTCTGGTTTTCTAGTATTCTAGTTTTAGAATAACTCTTATTCATAAGAGATTTGGTTGAGTCAAATTAGGGAAATAGAACTTGATTAGGAATATTAGTTCATAAGAGTTTTGCTTGTATCTAATTAGGAAAGTAGAATCTGTTTTGAAGTAGAAGTAGTATTTCCTTTGTTGTATAAAATTAGTTAAACATTAATGAAAAATTATGAGAGTTCGTTGTTTCCTACAGTAAAAGTGTTAACGTTTATTGCTTCCAATTCCAACAAACTTAACTAGGAAACTAGAAATAGGGAACGTTTCTTGTCATTGTTTTGCCATCAAAAACTTTAAATCTCTATTGCAAAATCAGGGATTATAATTCTTTCCTTGGAGGAATTTTTTTTTTACTAGTTTTGCCTGCAATCCTCATTGAGTCTCTACTCACAAAAACTGAAACCATGACCATGATTTTTATAAATGTTTTTTTTCATTTGAGATTTATGGATGGCGTTGGGAAAACTCTGCAACTAAGAAAAAAGAAGTATGGCTATTCTCTACTTGAGCGGAAGAACCTTGATGCCTCATGGGTAGTGTTTTTTAATAATCACTAGTACCTTGATTCTCGTATTTTTTATCTATTTGAGACTGAGTTTGAAGAGAGATATGTGAAACTCAGAACCCAAATACTGTAACTGGCAAAACCTGCACGGTGGTCTTGGCTTCAGCAGCGAAGGGAGCACAACTAAAGGACGTCTAATTAATTTATATCAATATGCATTCAACTTCATATTAGAAGGATAATAATCTTAATAGAAAACCTAAATAGTTTTATATCTATATTTTAAAAAAAAGCTATTACCTTTATTTTAATTCTTGCTTAAAGTTTTTTTTTTTAAATAAAAATAAAGCTTTCCGTAATGCTAATAAAAATAAGTATATATTATTAAATTCTTAACGACTTCTTGTAATATAGGGTTGCCAAATTTATGAAAATTAAAATTCATCAATTTCCCAATTTTAAATAGGGTAATAGCTAGGATCAGAATCACCATAATGAAAAAAATATATGAAGATTATTTAAAGTTCTAATGAATATCATATAATTCCTTTTTCAAAATACACACCTTCTCAAAGTATCAAATTTAAAATAAAAAAATTAAATAAAATTACTGACTTGGTGGAGGAAGTTGAATCCTATTGGAACTCTGATAGATCCGATCATAAAGCTGTGGACAGAAGAGTATTTTCTGATGCCTTGTAAATGTATGTAGGTTGAATCCAAATACTCTGATAAACTGATGTATTTGCTTCCTTGATCCAGCCATAGGTTGTGGACACAAGTGGTTTTTGGTGCCTTATAAAAACAGAGAGTCAAACGCCATGAAGCATTACGATGTACATTGCGCTAATTCACTTGCAGCCCCCACCGCCGGAGCTAATATCCATTTTTCAAACTCTAAACAACATTTTCTTCTCCAAATTTTCAATTTCAACCAACTTCTTCCCTGAAAAATCAACCCTAAAACAACGCAACTTTCATCATATTCATAATTATACGTTAATAAACATTCCCATCTGACTCAATTAGTCTACAATGTTAGAGCTTTTCCATGGGGGAATTGCAAGAGAGACACAATTGATCAAGAACGATTTTCTGCTCTTTTATATAACTGAAAGGAACATAAAGAAATTTTTTATCTTCAGATATACCGTCACGACTAACGTAGCACAATATAAGACCCATCCCACACAGCCAAACTAAGAATATCTCGTCCAAAATCTTCTAAACAATAATGACTATCCATCTTGTATCTCCAGGCCTACATGTGTAGATTATTTTCCTTATCATCCCCAACCATTCGCAACATGAAAAATATCACACACTCGTTGGAAGTTGGATTGCCTGAGAATATTACCTGAGAACTATCAATGTATAGAGGATTGGTTCAATTTGAGGATCTTCCAATACCAGGAGTTTTATTGTTTCATCAGTACCGGATTATAGAAGTAGAGTAAGTTACAGCAGGTGAAAGAAACATTCTCTTCTGGTTTGGATATAAGAATCCAACCAATTTTGAATCATAAACCTTGATCCAAATGGTAACTTCTTTTTAATCTCATACTTTTTTTTGTTAGAAGGGTTGTAGAGATAAGAAAAGCCATGTCATCTGTTTGTACTTGTAAGCAATATCCAAGGCAATTGATCTGCAGATTTAATAGCATAAGTTATCCACCGCCAACTTTTGCAGACGCTCGAAAACGATTAGATCATCGAATATAGATGCTCCATTATCACGCTTTGTATATCAACTGGAAGATCGGACCATGACTTGACGATAGTATCATGGCTCATATTGGTGTGAAGGATGTTGCTAACGAAAAGTGATAAGGGATTATATGTGAAGAAGAAAAATTCAATGTTATTATTTCAACTACATTATATATTATAATATATATATTATATATATATTATATATAATATATATATATATTATATATTATAATATTTGCATTTACGAGAATCTTGTTTTAAAAGGATTAATTATAGAAGTTGTTATTGAATTTAAAACTAATAAAGAAATGATAATCCTGTTTCCGATTCATCACCTTATTTTCCTAGTATTCTATTAACGTATATAGAGTTAGTGTTAGATACTTTGATTTACATATAATTTAGAGCCCAGTTAAATATATTAATTAATGTGACTTTATGATAATTGAAAATTGTATTTTAATTGCTATAAAAACAGAAATGAGTTATACCAAGAGGCAAAATTTACTATGCATTACGTATTTGACGATTCACTATTGAAGTCAAATCCCACCGAAAAATTATTATACAAGAAGAATATATTTATATAAAATGGCGAAAAATCTCTTTCAAACAGATAACCTTATCATGTATATACCAAAGCAAAACCTTATCATGTATTAACTGACCTAATCTCGGAACAAAATAAATGAGGGATTAATAGTCGAGTCATAAAAATAAAAAAAAAAAATTATTCCTAATCTCAGATTAACAATTTTTAATAATTATTTTTATGCATTTTATTTATGATAATAAATTACAATTTTTATGCTTTTATTTATGATTTATCTCTCCTATTATGTTTTCTTCTTGAAAAAATATATCTCTCTCCTAAATTAAAAAGTCTATTGGATTTGAATAAAAAATTATTTTTATATTTAAAAATCAATGAAGATACTCTTTATTTATAGGAAAATGCTCTTTAAAATAAACACCATTAGAGATACTCTAACCTTTGTGTTTGACGTTTTTCTGTGAGCACCTGATGGTTACTAATTTGACATTGATCCTGGGTGTTTGGTCTTTTTCTGTATTGAGCACCTGCTCGTAACATAAATGCGACTCTAATCCTGTGTTTTTGACATTTTCTGTGGTGAACACCTGCTGCTTTAAATACCACCCTAACCTTCA